AGTAGTTCCCTACAGTCTGTAAGTACGCTTGACATGATCACGATAACCTGACAGGTTATGTTACGAACTTTTTGATATTCAATATAACCTTTTCCTGAATACCTGACTTGCGTATAATAATATCGAAGTTTTTGAACTAATTTGTTAATTACTGTTGACAGAATCAAATCATTAGACAAGCACAGAGACTATCATATTGTTACTAGGATACATTACCAAACTAAAATCATACACCTGAATGAACCATCTGGATTAAAGTGACAAATAAATAAATATTTTTTAGTAAAATTGCGAGGTACCTAATCATGGCTGCGATACGTCATTTAAAGGCGAACTTTCGTTTTCGTAGGTAATAGCGGCGGGCCGACCATACGCCCTTCACAATTGCAGTGTGACGGAAATGTCGGCAACCCTGGACGCGGAGTTCACCGCAAAGTCCGGCATGGGCCTTCCGATCTTCAGCTATCAACTGGAAGTCGTGGCGGACGAGGACAGCAGGCCAATTTTACTGAACAAAACGGTACCGGTCAGCTCGATCGGACCAACCTTCGAGGTGGCGGGCCTAACGACGGGAAGGAGTTATCGACTTTTTCTCTACGCGATTAATGCAAAGGGGAGGAGCGAGCCTGCCATTCTGGAACCAGTGACCCTGAAAGGTGTCGCCATGTACACGACCGGTGAGTACATTGACTTTCTAATACGGTCGCGGTGTTTAACGGAAGCGTTTGACAGATGTCGAATTGGCTCGCGCTAGTATCAGACGAGTGGTCATTAAATGGATTTCCGTGGTCATTTCCGGCACGTTTAACCCCGTTTGCGGTAGAGCTGTTGGTCGTACGTTGTTAATGTCACCTGTGAGACCAGGGCCTTTTTAAAGTGAACTCAAGGCCCGCTTACACGTTCAAATAATTTGCGCAAACTGATTTGTGCATTACAGGTACAGTCTACCTTGCACAGTTATTTTATATAAATATAGAAAATAAACTATAATTATAATAAGTTATTGAAAATTAAATGGTAAGGAAAGTAATGGTAATTATTTGCCAGGGGCGTTAGCTTCCATTTAAACGTAACGATTTTCCGTTTAGACACAACGATCTGCTTGCGCAAATGTATTTAGCATAAATCAGTTTGCGCCATTTATTTGAACGTGTAAATGGGCCTTCACAGTTGGTGTAGAAAGTTTTCGCGCACCGATAAATTTCAATCAACATTTTATATAATTGCGGTTTATTAACAAGTTTGTGTAAAACCACGAGTTTGTACCATGCAGTGATCATAAGTTGCTGATGAATCAAATTGGTTGGACCACCTTTAGTCACACGAATTGTTATCATTGGCTATGTCGATTATATCGATAATTCTATGTGACGAAGAACGCGATGGGAACTCATCGAGATAGAGTGAGGTCGACTGCTAACGGGAGGCGTTCAATTTATAGGTACTCAGCAACTTAGAATCTCTGCACGGTACGTATATTTGAAAGCCTCGGCAATAGGTATCGTGCTAAAAGAAATCAGCTACATTCATAGTTTGTGAAAGTAACAAAAAAAATTCAGAAATCGATAGAAACAGTACTTTGTGTACAAAAATCTAAAGAAATGTTTCATTGAATCGTTTTACGAAACAAAATACGAAATGGTATCTTCGACGACAGGTGTAGATATTTTGAAATGGAGAGTTAGTAAATGTTTGATGTTAATTATTTAAGTGTTGAACAACAGGTTAGAGGTGAGTGATCGGACGAGAGATCAGTACAGGAGTGAACTTGAATATAGCATCCTGAAAGACTTTTGGTGATGAAAAAATCGAGTATATCTGGTATTTTATTTAGTCAGTTGGCCAGTACGTGGATTCCCCAGTACTTGTGTTTTAGTTTATTTGCTCGTAAACTTTGTACGAGTACTCTGATTTTTGCGCAGCCATGATGCGAGAAATTTATTGCCCAGGCTTGCAAAAAAGCTATCGAAATCTCCTTTATTAATGTTGTGTTTAAGAGGACAGTACAGTGCTGATATGGTAATAGGGCTATGCCAACTGTGTATGACTATGTTTTTTGATTGTAGGTCATCATGATTTAAGTTGGAAGTAAATAATTTTATACTAGGTTTGATTATTATGACGGTACCACTGTGTGCTCTACCATTAGGATGTTGCGTCGTATACACGTCGTATCCTCTGATCTTTAAATAATTTTTTTCTTCGAAGTGTGCTGCTTCTGAGATAATTATAAACTTCCTAATTATAAACAGCAGTAAACATTCAATTTAACGACAAAAGAGCAACATAAGCAACAACTTAAAAAGAACTTCTCTATTCATAAAAAATAAATACTTCTATTACTCCAAATCCTAACAGACACATAACTACTTGTACAAGTGTAGTATATATAACTAAATATTGCTATCGCTAGTAATATTTTGTAGTTGGTGCGACGTGAAAGAATGAGAGAGAGACAAAAATTTGTATATAAATAGTGATCTGTACGTTTAATTTTTTTTTTCATATGTCGTTTTCTCTTTCGGCTCATGAGCAATAACAAGCCATCCGATATAATCAGAAATAGTAATACCGCGCACAATAAATTATGTTTATCAGATTGTTCAGTATTGAATATTTCAAGGATTCCGATTAAAATCTTCCTCGTCCTGCCCAATTGATCACGGAACCACTGCAATGGCTTCGAGTATTAATCGTAGGGACTGGCAATCACGAAGTCATTTGAAGCAGAAGCAATTAAACGAATGTCGTTTTTTTCCATGAGATACGATCACGAGCGCAATTACTACTCCTTTAATTGTTATTTCGATACTGATGTCTTCGATATACTGCGTAATTTCACAATGCTAGCCGATACTTTACACGTATTTTCGGGGACTAGCAGCAAGAAAAATATAATACATATCAATTACACTTATAATGAACTGTATTTCTGTTGACATTTCGTCACTTCCTAGGCATTTTTGAATGGGACAAAGTTTATATTATTACATAGGACTAGTGAGTTTCAAGTTCCTGTACAAAACAAGAAATTACATATCACAATAACAGAAGTGGGATTAGAACGACTATATTAGCATTTCTGAAATAATGATATGTGAAGAACATTAGGTTACAATATAAATGCGGATTCTTAATGTATCGTTATTTGAAAAAAAGAGTCTCATATTTTCTAAAGGTCTGTATTTCCAATTATTAATAATTTAGAACGCTTTATGTAATTTAACCTTTTAGCTACGGTGAGACTAAACGAAGAACGGCATTTCTATACGACGACCTCTGCCGCGGACTGCGCAAAAACGACATTAAGTACCGAAATTAATAGAATTTAATAAAATTACGTTCTATTCTTATACTTCACACATAAAAATGTTTCCATGACATGTACATAATGTACAAAGTTTTAAACACGAGGTACAGAAGTCAGCCAATTTATTTCGATTCCGCATTTAATAGACTTCTATTATCGCTGAAAACTTTTACAACTTTACTGTATGTTATTTTACCACAGTTAAATATATAGTAAGAGTGTACTATGAAACACGGCAGGTCTATTGTAAACTGAAAACTTGGTATTAACATTTACAACGAAAGTCGTTAGTACTTAAACAATTTAAAGTACTAAACGTGTACGAATCTTTTGATCATTACGCTAATCAATTATGTAGAAAAATGATATGTACATACTCTGTGCCATTTTTAAATTCTTTTCTTCATCCATAAAGGCTAGTCCAGACACGTGCGACAGTGAACACGAACACGCGCAGCCAAAATTCCATATAACTCTGGCGTTTCTTGCGCGTCAACTCGTTAAAATCGACCCTTTCAAGAGTGTTCTGCAATGCGCGTTTCTCGCGTGTACCCGGTTTGTCATGCTCAGTCAGGGGGCCGAAAAAAGAGTGTTCTTTGGGAATTTTTTTCTCGAAAACTATAAGACCTTTTTCAAAAAATGTGTTTGTGGTTCAAAGACTGCAGTTTCTAGATTAAAAGGTAATTTTTTTATTTAAAAATATTTATTAGTAAATAAATGGTGAGCGATCTCCCGGATATCTCTTCCCAAAAAGTGGTCTACCGTGACCACTGCAACTTCGTAACGGTTCATTTGAAATTAAAAATTCAGTAAGATTTATGTAATGGAAGAACCAATCTTGTCCTTGAACGTGGGGTTTTTCGAAATATTGATTAGGTACAAAAGGTTAATACATACCTCTATTCACCAAAGTATATTTGTATTATAATGAAAATATTTAAATTACCAACGATAACCTAGTACTCATACCATCGAAATATTTTCGCAGTTTATTATGTTAATAGGATTTTTAAGTATTTCAATTTTGCAATGAATTTAAAATTTAGTACCTTTGTATCTATTTTATTGTACATTCTATAATATACTTATGGCCTGCAGTACGAAAGATCTAATTGATTCTAACACTTACTCATTTTTTATTTAAAAAGGAAGTAGTGATCAATGCATAATGCATATTACTCACTAAGAGATTCAACTACCCAAGAAAAAAGTATTGTTATCCCTTATAATGTTCCAATCTCGTTCATATACAACTTTAACTCGTTATCTAATCAACCCAAATCTCTGACAGGCTCTTAGCGTCTTAAAGTTAATGACAATCACGCCAGATTTCGCTCAACAGTCATTAATTCGCCAAGATGTAAAAATAGGGATACGGTGAATGAAACTGTGTGCTTCGTATTTTCGACTCTTAGATTCCACGAGGTCGAAGTTATTTACATTATCGAGTTTCAGCAAAGCGTCGAGAAGTTTTCTCGTTACGGACGATGATTATTTTCGTATTATCTCGAAGGCAAAAAGGAGAAAAAATTCGGTCAAACTGGGACGCTCGCGAAACGAAACTTTTTGCCGTGGACAAAAACAGAAGAAAAGATGAAAGTCTCGGCCATGATACCGTTTCTCAATCGCAATACTGCCCGATTAAGGGAGTAGAAACTGATCGAGATAAGCAATAAATTGGAAGATATAATTGGAGAAGGAATCCGGTACTTTTTACGGAATATCGGATCTATCAAACGGATACGCTGCTCTGAACGTTATTCTTCGTTGAAAGCTATGTTGATGAGTCTTACCGAGAATCTTTACTTCTTCGTCTGAAATACAATCACAACTAACCCAGTTCGATACTGCTGACGAGCATTGAACTATCTTTATCCAAACACTCTGTTGTACGTAAGTTCTGTTATTTAAACAGAATTCATTGTCATTTTCGTCGCATTGAAAAATTCTTTAACAATCACTGAAGTTAACTCTACCATACCAAGTTAATGTAAGACTAATAGTGTACGTATTTCTGCGTGCAAGTTTAATGTAACTAAAAATGTCAAGTACGAGGCAAGTTGTCAAATGAAGATCAATTCATACAGAAGAAGGAGAAGATTTGAGATTATGAATAGGAAATACGAAAACGACTTTTTACTTTCTTCACAAGAAAGATTTGCATCACGGAATATGTGCAGTATCAAATTAGTAAGAGACCACATAATTATATCTACACAATGTACCGCTAACAGACAATTATCATGGAATATTGAACCTATTATAAGAGACAAACTATAGAATTATAAATCGACATAACTACTTGTGGGATATGTTTCCGAGCGTGTATAATATTGTAGGACCACTGTGACCTAAAACAGGATTAAA